TGTCTTTCATCATATTAGCACATTAAGTAAATTGAACTCTGATTATAATCATGGGGGGCATCCTTAAAGCCCTTAAAGTCAGAATTTATATTTTATACCGAAAAAAGAATGCATAGAGTACTATAATCTTCCTTTAACGTGCTTCAACGATGGCTGAACTATAAGTATGTGTATGTTTTGGGAGACATTTCATATATATTTAACTAAAAAGACTTATCATTGAAGTTCCTCTTCACCTGTGCTGCTATAAATGATTTATTGATAAATTAATTTTTAATTGCAACGGAAGCGATCTTAATATTTTTTATTGATCTCATTTTCTTCTCTGCTACTTCAAAGATGTAATGAGTAGCCAGAAATAAAGAAACATTAAATGCATTGGAAGTGGAAGAAGCTTATACCTATAAGTATATTATATATATTTTTTAAAAGTATTAATTTTTATAATATCTCATATTTTAATTGATTTTAATTTATTTGTAATTTCTGCTTTCCCACCCAAATTCTGTCTAAAAGTTTTCTTTTTAATAAACCTAATATAAAATTTTGATTTTGTTTGGGCTCAAATCTTTCTGGGAAAAACTTTGGCATTTGGCTCAATGACATCTCCGCTTCAAGCGTCTGTGTTACGCTGCGGTATGATTTATCATTAAAAATAAAACAGTAATAAATATCTCCGCACATAAGCGAAATGAATTGAAAATTGTTTTATGGACTTGGCTTAAAGACCTGCAAGCTGTAAAGCACTAAAGTCGCACGCAAAGCGGAAAATCAAAGGAAAATTAAATAAAAAAAATCTGAAAATTAATTAATTTTAAAGAAGAAATTTCAAAGTAAAGCTTCAACAACACTAAATAGATATTTAGTTAAGTTTCAGCACAGAGACTCAAAAAAAAATATGGAAACATTTGATGCAATTCGAAGCGCTTTTAACTGCAATAATCTTAGGTGCAATAAAAATTACAAGAAAACTTTCTTTACGAATCTCGTGTAGCATCAAATTTCTTAAAAGTAAATTTGAAGCTACGCAGTCGATATCTGCCATGAAATACTTAATCCGCTTTCAGCAACTCAACGTTTGGTCAAGCGGTTTAAATTGCGTATAGTCAGCAGAAATACAAGAAACTAAGTCCGAATTATGATGCCAATAAAGTGAAGGCAGAGCGAATCATGAAGGAAAAATTTGATGTAAGACATCAAAAACCAACAGATCACCTGCTATTAAATAAAAGGCTAAAAATCCACAATAAAATAAATAAATAAAAGCTTTGGTCGGTATTACTCTAATACTCTAATACCAACCAATGCGAGAAGTAATTTAACTTGGAATAGTGTTTGAGTAGGAAAAAACTCTTCTGATTCTCTGCTCGACATCAGATTACTCGTACTACGTGCTCAGGCATGGCTTGGGTCTTACTTACATTTACTGTTGCTACTAAGAAGGCAAACAACAAACAAAATACATCAAATCAAAATGAAATGTTTTAAGGCTCTTTGAAGCGATTGTTGATCGAGTTACAAAATAAATGCTGACTAACGTTGGCTACAGAACAGAGCGGTGAGTTTGCTGATAGTGATCTTGCAGCATTTGTTGATCGCAGTTGGCAGTTGGCGTTTTTGACGCATGAAGACCGTTTCAGTGTGTTTAGTTTGATTTGTTTGACTTTTGGTTCTTTGTTAGGTTTGCTAGTAGTTGTTTACTTCTTTCCATTGGAGTCATATTATAGCAGATCTTGTTTAGCATTACAGTTCAGTTTCTGATTGATTATTCAATTACAATTGCGTGTTACATTTTTAAATTGTTAGGTTACTTAACATTTCGGAAGCGATCAACAAATTGTACAGCCTGAAATCTAGTAATTTTTACGGAAACTTTTAAAGGAGCGTATCTGAGTGAAAATTTCAAAGGGATCTTAAATGTAGTATACTTTCTG